AAATAACAATCAGTAAAATAAATAGCACACAGCGATTTAATTATTAATATTGCAATGTTTACCAACCGTACAATAAATTAAAATTATTTGATGTATAATAATTATTTGATGTATAATAATTTTACGAATAAATAAAATTTTATAATCAATATACAGTAGATAATTATTTTTGCAAGTGAATATTTTTAAATACATAATTGCTAATATTTCTTATTTATTTTTTTTTTTTTGATTTTGAAAAAAAGAGTTTTTAATCGATATTTTATTATTAATTATTATTAATTTATTTAATATAAAAAATTTAAAACTAATAAAATTTTTTTGATTATTATTATTTTTTTATATACAGTATATAAAATATTATTATCAATATATACAAACACAATATATAGTATATGAAACTTACAAACCAATTTTTGATTAATAATAAAATTGTTTGTGACATTTTAAATTTTAAACCTTTTCATTATTTATCAAACATCCTAAATTTAACAAAAAAAACTTATTATTACAGAATTTTATTATATTGAATTTTTATTGTATCATAAATTTAATTAATAAATATTAAAAAAACAAATTATTATTATTATATTGTCTATATTGTTTTTTTTTTTTTGTTTCTATTTATTGATATTATTTAATACTTTTAATTATACTATATTATCATTTATATATAATATAATTTTTGTAATAAAAAATATATAACTTTTTTTTATTTATTTATTTTTTAATATTTGTTAATTTGAAATCTTAATTAATTTTTTTGCATTTAACAAATATAGCAAAAAATATATTTTTTTTTACGGTTTCTTAATCAGTTAATATATAGTATATCAAATAAATTAACAATTGTAACGAAAACATAATTAGGTTGTCCATAATATATATATGGTCGATTAATAGATTAATTTTTAAAAAAGAAAATCGTGTCGAATATGGAATGCGAATGTACTGTACAGTAAATAACTTTACAGGTGAATAAGCTTTTTCAGATAGACAAGCAGTTTAAAAGCATTTACATAATATACTGTATATTGTACATATATCTATTTGAAAATAGAATTTCTTTTTAACGTGCAAGGTCAAAATTGGTTGCAAAAAGATAATGATTGTTATTCAAACGTCGAATTCTTGATTTTAGAAAACTTGTTTCATTTTAAAAATGGAAGGCAATTGTAATTGCTAAAATTGAATCATGACCAGAAAATTTTCGAATGCACATTTTTATCTAATTTATAATCAAAGAGAAATTTATAAGATAAATTTGGTTTCAATAACTTATAATACAATATAGTGATAAATAATATTATCATCAATCCATAAAAATTTTTATCTAGAATCAATCTTAGTGGGGACCGATAATCATAGGGAAAGCAGATCCCAATAATCTAACACCATGACCTCCGCGTTCATGGAAAGGATAAATCTTAATATTCAAATTAATACCATCCAATGTCACTTTTGTATCATCACGTTCAAGTAAGTAAAGCAATGTATAAAGTCCAAATTCAAATTCAGGTGAAGTGCCAATGAATGAAGTTGAGAACGGTTTCCTTGCACCCTCGAAAGAGAACCGTAATGTAATTATCTGTTCAGTTCCGTCCGGCTATTTAATGGAGTGCGGAAAATCACAATGAGCAGGAGTACGTAATTGGTTAAAGTTGAAGTTGAAAAAACGAATGCAATGAAATTTAGAAATTTTCTTACGGTGACAAGCCGATTATTCCCTTCTTTCATTGGTATAAAACTTTCGTAGTCGATTTTACCAGCCTTCTCGTTAAAGTAGAATGTAATCCAATTATGGAATGCTTGTTGAAAAAAAAAAAGAATTAATCTCGAGAATATAGTAATTGAATAAATTATAATTTACTTCCAGAAAGGTTACCTTTAGCTTCTCCATCTCTAACCTCGCCGAGAAAAACGTGTTCAAAGGCGCTAGAATCTTTGACTCCTTCTCTTCTATAAAAATTGAACCATATTTTGTTAAGTTCTGCCTCAAAGTCACTAATGCTGCCTCTGAACGTCCCTTTTGATTTCAGGTACTAAATAACATTTAAGACCTATCAGCATTTTAAGTTTAATAATTAACCGTGACAAAAATAAAAGAAAAATGTCATTTGCCTTGTACACATAAATCATTGGTGCGGTTGCCAAAGCAGCTTTGAGAAATTGTTCATTTTCCTTTAATTCTGCGGTGTCTAATTTTTCTGCTATGCCAGTTTGTGGTATGTAATTATCGAGTAAGGCATAGAAACATTTAAAGGTAGGGATCTTTCCAGCACGATCGGTTACGTATTTAAAGAGAGGAACTTTCACGTTTTCGTCTGTAAAGTTTGAGAATCACGTGAGTAAAAAAAAAATAACAATATAGTGAAGAGTATAACAAATAAGATGGTTTACTTCTTCCATGTGGCATCGGCAAATTAATAGCATACTTTGTTGATGAGTTTAATATTAGTTTAGTATGCAATAGTAACCAAACCCAAACAAACAATAAGTGCACTTACGTCAACACCTGGCTTTAGTCTGTTAGAATCTAAATCCCATAGTTTTTGTATTGCGATGCGAACATCCGACAATTCCTGCTGAGTTGGTTCAGGAGACAGTTGAGTGGTGGGGTTTCTAGGGGATTCATGGTGTGGTGGATTTGAATGTTGAGAGGGTCCACCATGATGTTGAGAGGAATTCTCGTGATGTTGAGAAGAATTATGATGGCTTTGATTGGACATCTTCTTATATTATATATTCAGAAAAGTTTTTCTGAAAGAACCTTTTTCAAAAATCGTAAGTTATATAGATGAAGCCAGGTATGACAATTATCTGCTCGTAATACACGCCACTCAAAACAAAGAATAAAGTTAGAAAACCATTACCTTTTCTGCTATTTGAAAATTAAAAGATAGGACGATGCAAAGTTTGTTTAATCTTCATTGATATGTGAACCCTCGCATGAAACAATTTTCCTAAAAAAAAAAAAAACAATTTATAATATACAGTGATTATTTCAGCAGCGACAATATCTTGTTCACTTATTTACTTTTCCAGCAATTTCTAACTATATGCGGCACGGTATTACAATGTTTTTTTCTACGACCTTTGATCTTCTTTTATATTAATTAATACCTTCATTTATATTAATTAAATTTTTTTCATTTATCAATTATAAATACATGCGTGATCTATTAAACAAGTGATGGCAAATGGACGTATAAATAAATCCATTTTATTACAGTAGTTGGACGATTGGACTTGATCCAAATTCCAAGACTTTTTTTATTTGTTTGATACATGTAGCATATAATCATAAAGTGTATTAATTTGACTGGTAATAAAATTATCTAAATAATATGGAATCTCTAATGTATTTATAAAAATATCTTGTAAAATCCATTTCGCCTGTACATTAATAGTTGAATGTTGTATTTGATTTATATTATCTAGTGAAATATCAAATTTAACATACAATCCGTTGCAAAGTCTTTGAACTCTTATTTTAGCTTATAATTCAATAATTAATTAATAATATGATATAATACATATATATATATATTATTTAAAGATTTAAAGATTTAAAGATTAAAAATTATATTTGAAAATAAAAAGAAATAATTATAAACCACATATTTTATATTTTGCTAAAGAAATTTGTTAAACAATGATTAATAAAATCCATATAATTTTTTTGTAATAAATTTTTATGAATTTTTTAAATAAAATTTTTAAAATTAACTTCTTATATGATTACTTACTAATATATATACCTATTTATTATTATATAAAAAGTATTTTTTTATAATTTAAATATCAATCTATTGATTTTTTATAAACTCTTTTCATTGATCTTTTTGCCAATCTAAAAAACAGTTATTTCTAAAAAATTTTATATTTCTTTATAACAAAGTCTATATACTTTCTTTAATAACATTATTATCTAAAGACTCTAGTCTTCTTCTACTTGTTTTTTTTTTCTTTATAACAAAATCTATATACTTTCTTTAATAACATTATTATCTAAAGACTCTAGTCTTTTTCTACTTGTTTCTTTTTTTCTTTGAAATAAACTTTTAATATTTTTATAAGTAAATACAAGAAAAATTTATCTACAAAGTCAAAGGCAAGAACACTTTACTAGAAAAAGAAATTTGTAAAAACAATATTCTCTTTTTTTTCTTCAGAAGTTCAAAACTTTAAAAAAGATAACTACAAATTTCTGGAATTCTTTTTTATCTCTCTCAAGCCTCCTACTCATTTTCTTAAATATGTAAACTTTTTCTATTTTTTTTGAAGAATTTTGCCTATTTCAGTTTGATTCTGAATTTTTGATTATACTGGAATCCTTGAATGATGATTGATTTAAAATTTGAATTGGTTAATTTACATATAGCAAGAAATATAAACAAGACATGTAAATCACATGTGTTTTATCTTATACAACTTATATCCAATTATATAATTGATTATAACAGAAAGAACAAAGTGATAAGATATATTCTTTAATAAAAAAAATAATTTAATACTTTCTCCTTCATCTTTTAAACTGATTTCATTTTTTTTTAATATTAAAGAAAGATCTTATTTCAATCTAGTAATGAGTTAATTCTATTGTTAATTATCTTAAAAATGATTGAAAAAAAAGATTTTTAAACTATTTACTAATTGAATAAAGCCATAAATCTTTAAAAAAACAATTGAAAAAAATTATTAATTAATACTAATCCTCTTTAAAGATTAAAAGTCTTTGAATATAAAGTTTTAAGAAATACTTTTCTAAAAGTGTCCTTAAATATTTTTAATTAACAATATAATATTAAAAATTAAATAATTATCTAACTATAAATGATTAGACTAGATATTAATTAAGAAAAGTTTTTATTTTACTAGTACAAATCTTTCCTTTTGTTTTTTTCTCTTTATTTTTATCTTCTTAAAAAAAATAATAATTTTTTATCTTTTAAAACCACAGGTTCATGTTGAGATGACAATCCAAATATAAGTTGGTTTTAATCTTTCAAAATATAAACTTTGATATTTAGTCTTGAAAAGAAACAACTTTTATTATTTTTTATAATTATATCTAGAAAGTTAAGGTTTAAAAGATTTAAAATAATTAATATTATAAAGTAATAGTTTAATGAATCTACTCTCTTATAATAAAATAGTTAGTAAATAGCTAAATTATGTAGATAATACAGTAGTCTTGATATTAAGAATTCAAGGATTATATACAAATCTAAATTAATTGACAAATGTTCTATAAAAAAGAACTAGTTTAGTTTAGTTTTAGTATAATATTATAATGCATATTATATTATTGTTTTCTAAAAATTAGATTAATAAATACTATTACTTATAATTTGATTAGAAACAAAAAAAATTATAAAAATTAATATTTAAATTATAAAATATTTAAATAAAAAAAATTATAAGATACATATATATAATTTTATTAATTGTTAATTAATATACAATATATATAGTCAATGTGTTAAAAAAAAAATCACAAAAATTTTAATATCAAATATTTAATATTAAATTAGCAAAAAAATTAATATAAATCAAAATATTTACAAAATATTTTTTTAAAATATATTAAAAAAACATCAAATTTTATATTAATTTCCTAATAAAATATTTTAAATTTTGAAAATTTAATAAATAAAATTTATTAAACCTATAAATCAATAATATAGTAAATAGTATTTCAAGATTTTCAAATAGATATTTCTAGTTTAATATTTACAAAAAACAAAACATATTAATAGAGTTTATATACAAGTTTATTGGTTTTTTTATATATATAATTTTAAATATCTGAATTCAATCCTTATTCAATTAGATTATATAAAAATGGAATCTCCAATCTTTTCAATAATTATAAATTAAAACATATTAAAAAAAAAATTGCATAAGAAAAATTTCTAATTTAACTAAATATATACCTATTACAAATTCTTTTTTGATAATCAATATACAATATATCAATTAAGATTAAATAATTACAAAAACAATTATTGATATAAACATAATATATAAAAGAAGCTTGTAACTAAACAGAAGTAGCACTTTGCTTTCTTTAGATTTAACAGTCTATACTAATCAAAAACTTATAAAATATTTACTAGAGATTTAAAAGTTACATTTCACTTGATTAATTAATTATATAATTTGATAGTTTATATTAATTAAAAAATTCCTTGAAGCATTTATTAAAAAATATAACCTGTGAGTCTGTAGTATAGTAGTTAACACTTCACAGATCAAATCACAAGATATCAGTTCAACCACATATGAGAGTGGTTAAATAAAATTAATATAGTATCTGATACCATAACCTGTATAAGCGCTATTTCTTATGAGAAGCTGTTTCACACACTGATTTAGCAAGTATTGTGATTATGATTTTCAGAAAAGGTATTATGGCATAACAATTATTTAGTTGATATTACAATGATCACTAGAAGTTATAAGATATATAAGATGTCTGCTTTCAGCAGGATGGCTTGATGATCATTTTCCTGTAGTACCTGGTATCTCTTCCTGCAAGTTTCTAGAAAGGCCTTATTCCAATCTAGTAATAGATCATTCTGACAGTTATCTATCCCAAGAAGGTAGCCAAAACAGCAGTAAGTACTGATAGCTGAAACAATCTATGGGCAGTAAGTCTGTAAGATAAGTTCTTTGAATGTTCTTGAATAGCTTTAGAAAGGTGGAAATTAAATAGTATGCCTATCTACAGGTGGTCAAGTTTAGAAAAATTTTCTTTATAGGAGTTCTATTTGCCTAAATAGATACTACTCCCAGTTCCTCTCTTTATACTTTCCCTTAATACATTCCCAGTTAGAATAGAACCTTACATATATAATAACAACATTGATGAAGCTTTAGCACATTAGCCTTGACTCATATAGATCTCCAGATTTATAGTCAATAGCAATAAGCCAACATATGAGTAAAATCTAATATAGTCTAGTAATATCTAAAATAATTCATAAGTAGTTTCCTCTTGTAATACATGATGTAAAGCATATATGAATTAAATAAAAAGAATACACAGGCATGGTCCAGCTAGTTGAACACAAAAAAAAAATTTTTTTTATTAAAAAATATTAAATAAGTTCATAATATATTATAATATATATGCCAAAAATATAAAAGTAATAAGAAACTTGAATAAAATTTAAATAGTATATTAATATTTTTATTTTTAAATTAAGAATTGGAATTAAGTAGTTTAAAATTGATAATAAGATTTCTATACTTTTAATTCCTACTGAAATATGCATTTATTTTCTAAATGTAAGTTGATATATTTAGTTAATAAAATAAGTTACAATTAAATTAATATATAAAAAATTATTGATGGAAATATGTATTAAAAAATATAATATTTAATAAAAATTCTTGTATTTAAAATAAAATTTATTTTTTTTTTTTTTTTATCGCGAATGGGCATTAAATGCGAGACTTTATTTAAATAAGAATTTACTGTCATTACATTA